TATATATATATATATATATATATATATATATATATATATATACAATGCATTAGAACATATTAGTGTTTAAACTCTTAATGAAATGAAGCTTGTTTAGCTTTATAAACAACAGCTCAGACTTGTAATCGGCCGTCCATTTTTTTTTAGCTTTGTCTTTATTCAAGGGTAAACACATGAAATGATCAAAATCATCAAAAGACATATTGTTTGACCTGAGAATCTGTCCCTAACCAAGCCAGACATTGTTCCTTTTGGCTGTCTCCGAACCCCTATATAGAGCACTATACAGTGGTTATGCAATTTTATACGTGTGTCTGAATGTGTAGTGGGACACTGGCTTGTGACATTTCATGGGGATTAAGCTTCCATACGTTATTCATAAGTTAGGCTGTCGTTGGACAAAGGAGGCCTGGGAGGAAGATCTTGGTATCAGTGATGAAGTCTGGAATACCTTCATTCCTGCCATCCACAGCTAACTTATCCAGTTAAAAGTGATCCATAGGCTTCACTGTTCAAGCAGTAATCTACACTCCATCAATCCCTCTGTCTCCCCAATTTGTCCAAAATGTAAAACAGCAGAGGGCACTCATCTCTTTTGGTCCTGCCCCAAATTAAACAAATTTTGGTCATATATTTTCATATGCCTTGCTATGGCTGTGCTATCACTAGAATCATACAATGACAGTTTAAGACTTAGACTCAACTTTATTTATCCCTTGGGATTCCTCCTTCAGGGAAATTCTGGTTCCAGTAGCTTATATAGAGTACAAAGAGTTAAAGAAAGATGCTATTAGAGATAATACAACAGGCAGTATAAATACAATGATATACTGGACGAGTTCCAACACAGCACTACTCTAACCCCCTATCAGCAAAAACAATACAATATAGCATGGTCATTGCAAATATGAACATCTTAGCTTTGGGTAAAAATGAAAATGTCCCATCCTTTAAGACATTGCTGATGGAAATGACTAATTTATTGCATCTAGAGAGAGTTCAACATAGTGACCTGCAACCTTTTATAAAACGTGGCAGCCTTTTATATTATACTTGTCGAAACTGTAACCCTTGAGTATTTGGATGTGTGTAATTAATATTACATACAAAGTACATGTATTTCACTCTGTCGAAATGTTTTTTGATTGTTGCTGATTGACCTATTTATTACAAAGCCTTGTATTACTTTTGAGCAGACTTCACACTTATTTTTTTTCACTTCTTTCTTTATATTTTATTTTTGAATTTATGTTCTGTAGAATTTTATATTATTTGTACTATTTTGTTTTCCTTTGAGGAAAGAGTTGGGGATTTCATTCACATTTTAGTTTGCCTTGATTTGCATTTTCCCCATCTGGATTTGCACTATTCTAAAAAGAAAAAAAAAAGAAAAAAAAAATAGAGCCTATCCGTATATTACTCAGGTTAGATTTAATTTTGCAAAATAAGCAGAAGAACATTAAAAAAAAAAAAAATCAAATGTGAAGTTTACATGTTTAAATATATTGTATCTTGAACAAAAAATGTAATACAATTTAAGGCAAACAGACAAAAGCCTTTGGAACATTTATGTTCTCTTAAAGCCACAGATGCCAAGCAGTGTAAAAATTAGGTCCACTGTAAAAAGGATGAGATTGACATAGGTAAAAAATGTAACCATGAACTGAATAGCCCAAATACAAAAGCTAGGGGGACAATCATTGGGACGTGGATTGTTTCTGAAAGTAAAAATGGGCCACATGATAGCAGTAAATATGTACAGCACAACTGAGATCACAAGGAATATAAAGGTAAACCTGTCCAGGTTAAAGGGTAAACATTTCTTGAGTTTTTTTAAGATGTTGGTGGCTATGATCAGAGGGAGGATGGGAAAAGGAATGATGTACGCAATGACACAAAGTATCAGAGCTGTTTTGTCTCTGTAACCTGTGAGTGATACAAAAATCATGCAGCTCACAAAGGCCTCCAGAACTTTCCAGAACCCAGGTAATGCAGCCAGGTAGCTTCCTTTTTTCTTATCCATAAACTTGTCCTTTACCACCTCAAGTATGTAGAGAACGCCGCACAGGAAGGCAAACACACTCACAATCCAGCCATACAGGCATTTCAGGCAGGCATAGAAGTTGGCATATGTTATGGCAACAGAGATGGTCATGAGGGAGGAAGACATGGCCATACCTGTGGTGAAATCCCCCCAGTCCATGCAGAACAAATCAAGGATCTTATCGAGTCCAAACATCTCAATGACAGTGATGACGAGAGTCATGATGGGGCAGAAGGCCCAGGTGAACATGGCGTAGTTCCAGTAGGTATGAGTGCTCCCTCCTCTGAACATTCCCAGGACAAAGGTGACCAGACACAGGATGATCTGAGCCATATGGAGCCCACCGCGCCCGGTCATCAAGCTTGATGGATTAAACACTGCCTTTGACAGTGTGTCCTTAACATCGTCAATAATCCCCATCTTCAAAGAGCGGCTGCAAAGACTTTGTCCTGTCGGCTGAGAGACTAGAACAGATATGTCTAAAAGGTGTTCCCTGCAGGCTTTCCCTTCCAACTCTACTCTCCATATAGTCGCTTTGCTTTGCATGGCATGCATGGTGACGACTATGAATAATGAGGCATATCTGCTGCAGCTGATAAGAATGAAACTCTCATCACAAAAAGGAGCTTAATATACAGGTGCTATAGTATCAGACTGATGTCTTTGTCTTTCTTTGGCTCTATTTTTTTGTTATACAATGTACTTGTACCTGATCAATGCTTGAGGCTGTTATTTGGTTGTGATAAAAAAAAAATTCAATAAGGTATCCTAATGTGCAGTGGAATCCTGTCTCAGTTGTTCCATATGCAGCATCCATCTTAAAGTCCCAGGTTAGATTCTAGTATATCGACTACCTGGATCCAACAGAGTGAAGTACAAAGAAAATAATGGAATAATAAATTATGATTTAACAGTATGGTGCTGTGCAAAAGTATTTATTTTTTTCGGTTGTTTATTTATTTTTTGTCACACTTAAATCTTTCAGATCATCAAAAAAACTTCAATATCAAAGATATTGAAGAGAGACATTTTTTTTTAAATATAATTACATACAGAATTTTTTAATCTATTTTTTAAGCTTGGTGTTAGGGTTTGCTGTTGAGTCAATGAGTTAATGCAATCAGCTGGTTTTCATTACATAGAAAACTTTGAACCAATCTAACTGTATGATCTATATGATCTAACTGTAATATATCAAAGCCATTTATTTGTTTTTCTTGCATTTCAGGTTAGTTTTACATTAAATAAACCCTGTACAACTTAAATGGATAACTTTTAGTAAGAAAGTACAATGCATACAAATGGGAGAGTGTACACAGCGCTGCCAGATTTGCAGTAGGTGTGTCAGTGATCTGCTCATCTGAGTGTTTATTGTAGGAATCCATAGTATTGGGGAAAAAAGTGGGACCCAAAATAATAAAAATTTGTTTAGAGCCCATCGGAGGCTTAGAGCGGCCCTAGTACAAACAGATCTGTAGGGAGGTTAATAGTAGGGTTTGTCTTCATTCATGAATCATGATGTCATTTGCTTAAGAGAAATGTTTAATTTACACACACAAAAACACAAACAATACTTGATGCTTATTGACAGACTGCCATTGTTACTAATCTTTTTTAGCATTTTTTATATAATATAAAATAACATCAAAAAGGCCTTCTAGGATTATTTTTACAGGAAGGAAGGAAGGAAGGAAGGAAGGAACCAACCGTCCTATTCCTCCTGTCCTAATAAAATATTGTCTTAATAAAATAACTAAATTGTGTTTGTGTGATGACATTAAGGATTTGTTTTTAATATGGTCTCAGTATGATGTTGATTTATGATCCAAGAGAAAATGGAAATAAAATGGGGGTGATTGTGATTTTAATGTCCTTCTGTTGGACGGTTTTCAGTAGGACCTAATACTGTATCGTCTGTTTCCGGGGAAGGTAAATAGCAAGCACAGGAGGAAGTTGTTGTCAGTTATCAGCTCTGTAAGCATAAGCCATTTAGGAATATGTGTTTACTTTTCAGTGATAAAGACAGTAAACTTTGAAAAATAACTCTGGAGGAGGCCGTCGCATTGTTAGAGCTGTATCTGGTTGTAATGGTACTTTCGTTTTCCTGGGCAATCTATTTTATTTTCGTGTCGAAGCCTTTGCTTGGCAAGACTTAGCTAGCCAAGAGGTTAGCCGATGGCTCGATGACAGAGAAGGGAGTAGAAGAGTTTGGCTAAGCAGCAAGAAGCTAGCCTCGCTCTGAACCCAGAGAGATGGATTTCTCCAAGTTCCTGGATGATGACTTTGATGTGAAGGACTGGGTGAACGGCGCCTTCAAGGTGGTACAGAAGGAGGCTCCAGGGAAAGCGGACACCCATGCAGCAACACTGGTCATGAAGCTGCAGCTCTTCATCCAGGAGGTCAACAATGCCATCGAGGGTCAGTAGCAGGAATTTTCCATGCTGAACCCAACACCCAGAATTACAGCTTCCCATGTAACACTTCAGTAAAGTTGTGTTGAATGGATAGATGGATAGACATTTATATATGCAAATGTCTGGGTCTGTGTGTGTGTGTGTCTGTGTGTGTGTGTGCACCTGTCTAGCTCTCAGAGTGAGGACTAATTTTCCAATTTCACCATCAGATTCAAGACCAGATGTTGCAAAGTGAGGAAATTTTGTCGATTTCTCACATTCTATTTTGCTCATGATTAGGTTTTGGGCTAAGGTATCAATTGGTCAGGGTTAGGATGAGGTATGCGTTGGTAATGGATAGTTTTAGCGTTAGGGCATAGAAAGCGTTGAACATGACTAAAAAAATCCATGGGAGTCAACACATGATTTTTTTTTTATTTAATTTTTTTATTTTTTTATTTATTTAAATTTTATTTATTTTTATTCCTAATGCACCTTTTCCTCCTTGTTTGCACCTTCTTGAAGTACTATGCCAATATGTGACCAGTGAATTTCTCCGCTGTGAGATCAATAAAGCTAAGCTAATCTAATCTAATCATGGTCCTCACTGCAATGGCAGAACGTGTGTGTGATATTGTTTTACCTACAATATGAGGGGAGTATTTTGTAAAATATCCTACATGCAAGAACTTACAGGTACATATAGGGACATTCAACTGGTCCCTATATGGTAAAGTTCTGTTCTTTGAGTTGGGGTTAGGTTTAGGACTAAGGTGACATATAAAATGAATGCAAGTCAATGAAATGTCCCCATATGTTATGAAAACAAAGCTGTGTGTGTGTCTATACACTGCTCAAAAAAATTAAAGGAACACTTTGAAAACATCAGATCTCAACTGGGGGGGGGGAATCATGCTGTTTATTTATACTGATATAGACTGGGCGATTTGTTAGGATAGCAACAAAAGGATGCCACATCATTTTATGGAAATAAATATTATCAACCTCGGGATGATGAATATTGTAACAATAATAGGTATTTTAATAGTTAATGACTGGAAAGCCGAGAGTTTAATTTTTTCTATCTGTCTACAGAGTCCAGTAATCAGGCCCTCCAAAATATGCCCAGAGTGCTACGAGACGTCGAAGCCTTGAAGCAGGAGGCGTCGTTTCTAAAGGAGCAGATGGTCCTGGTGAAGGAGGATATAAAAAAGTTTGAACAAGAAACTGTCCAATCCATGCAGGTGTGTGAGCGCTCCTTTTTTAAGGATATCTTCATGCATTAAATGTTAGGAGCTTTTTGTTTTAAACCAAAATAAAGCCACACAAAAAGGAATCTTTCCTCCCGATAGGTCCTGGTAGAAATAGATCAGGTGAAGACTCGAATGCAGCTGGCTGCTGAGGCCCTGCAGGAGGCGGACAAATGGAGCACCCTGAGCGCAGACATAGAGGAGACCTTTAAAACTCAGGTAAAAAAAAAAAAAAACTTGGTAGTTTATATAGTTTAATAGTGTTAAATATATATAATCTGTGTATTTTATGATATTTGACATATTGCTTATTTGTGGTTCAGAAAGAAAAATAAAATACTGCACTTGAGTGAATTAAGTTAACAAAGGAGAATGGTGAATTTAATTCTTGTAGCACTTTATTTCATTTTTAATACAAATAACACCTTATTTTCAGGACCTGGGAGTTATTTCGTCTAAGCTGACCAGCATGCAGAACAGCCTGGCTATGCTGGTGGACACTCCAGACTATTCTGAGAAGTGTGTCCACCTGGAGGCTCTGAAAAACAGACTGGAGGCCATGGCCAGTCCACAGATAGTAGCAACCTTTAACTCCATGTCTCTAGGTAACAAACCGGGAAAAAAAAGCACTGCTTGATATTATTCCACCCCCCCTGCCTGAGTGTGAACAACACATAACATCTTCTCTTTCTTCAGACCAGGCTAAGCTGTTTGTCAAAGTCTTCACAGAGATCGATAGAATGCCCCAGCTGCTGGCGTACTACTATAAGTGTCATAAGGTATGTTCCCCATCCTGGTTAGCTTCCAAAAATCACACCATGTGGGATAATGTGTGGCTTGGTGTCTGCAGGGCCAGTTAGTGAGCATATGGCAGGATCTCTCTCAAAGCGAGCTCAGTCTGAATCAGCAGCTCTCTGAATTCTACGACACTCTGCTCTCCACTTGGCATGCACAGGTTCAGTGGAGCAGCCAGGTGAGACTTGCTGTAGTACCCAGACCAATCAGTCCTGAGTCATGATTAGTTTCTAACCCGTGCTGTCAAACGGCTCTAGGTGTTTAAGAATCCATACGAAGTGGTGACGGTTCTGCTGATCCAGACGCTGGGGGCTATGGTGCCGTCCATCCCTGTGTGTCTGAGCACAGCCGTGGAGAGGGCGGCTCAGGAGCAGCGCCTGGACACTCTGCTGGAACTCCACCAAACCACATCCACCTTTGGCCACGGCTTGGAGGCTGCAATGCTTCCACATCTAGGTCTGTAAAGAGAGGGGCTAGAGGGAAAGCTGTCACACCTTATTAACTTCCCACAATCTGTCACATCTGGATTTATTTATTTATCACCAATCAACTCTCTGGGCTTCCATAGCTCAGAATGACATCAGTTCACCACTCTGAACATTTTGTACTCAAATCTGATAAACTGGCTCACTGTGTGATACCAGAAGCTCCAAACATTTAGTCTATTTTCATTGTTTGTTGGGAAACATGATTATTTTACAAGCAGGTTTCACAGTTTAGATTTTATTGCCCTTTAAATTACAGACACCTCCCAGAGGGGATGATTGAAATCAGAGCTAGAATTTTAACAGAAATGTTTTATTTGGTATTTTTAATGTGAAACTTGCATAATAAAAAACAAAAACAAAATAACAATTGAGTTTGGTAGGGAAAAAAATCAGAGATTAGATATTTATGTCATATAGCCCAGCCATACACACAACCTCTTAATCTGTGTATGTTTTAATTTGAGCTGTTTGTGTCCAGAAAAAAAGAGCCATAATTATAAAGCATAGTATATGATTTAAGTATTTGATTTAGAATTAAAATCTCACAAATGGGGCTCATGCATTTTTAATAATCAAATAAAGATTTTCTTGTGTGACAGAAGGGGGTGGGGGGATTCAACGCTTCCTACGCGCTCAACAAGAACCCAGAAATCTGTTCTTGGACAAGAAAAGAGTTTGTTTGGCCTCTAAAGCTACGTTCACACTGCAGGCCTTGGTGCTCAATTACAATTTTTTTGTGAAATCCCCTTTTTTTTTTTTTTTTGCGTTGCTGTTCACATTTCCAAATATATGCGACTTATATGTGATCTCCCATGTGAGCTGCATTCATACAACCTAAGTGTCCTGCATGCGTAGTAGAGGATGCAATGACCTCACAGGCCAGCGTGCTCTGTGTAAACGTGGATGGTAGTGCCGAAGCGCATCTAGCAACCTTTCCCAACCAAAAGCATCTTTTCAAGATTGTGAAACATACTGTTCTCCGCATCATCGTCTGCCATGGTTGATTTTCTTGCTGCTTCTTCATAGCAAGACCCAGAATAGTGACCTATGTCGGGTATCAATGGCATTCAGGTTGGATGAAAGTGACCTGGCCGTTCAGACACATGTCATATTTGAAAAAATCAGATTTGTATCGGATTCATGACCACATAGCCAAGTGGCCTGGGTCGCATTGGAAAAAATCGGATCTATGTTGTTCAGATAGCCATGAAAAGATCAGATCCAGGTCGCAGGGCTCTATGTTAACCATTGCCCGATCTCCCGGGGCAAGTCGTTTTTATTGTCGGGAGAGTACAAATTTCATTGCATTTGCCCGCCGGGCAAGTGCAACGATCACAAAAAAAAAAATTATTTATCATTCAAAATTACTTTAAAATAACCGACATTCGCTGAAAACGACCCACAAGCGTTGCCATTTTTGTTGTTTTGTACACATTCTCTCGTGATTTGAAAAAGCCGCGTGATTTTCCACTAGATGGTGTGATTTTTCTCTCCTTGGGGAGAGAATTCTGCAGAGCAGCCGCTGGATGATGAATTTAATCTATACTATAATACACGCTAGATTAAAAATGATCCGTCAGGGATTAGGAAAATAACAATAATAATTGTATGTAAATATTTCTATCATATGGCAGTCTTCTGTACAGTGGTCATACATTAAAAAATGTTCATTAAATTTTTTCTCTTAGACATTGGAGTGGTGCATTTAAATGTTATAGAGCTAAACATTAAATTGGTGAGTCGTAGTAGTGTAAGTTTTTAACCTGTTAAGATTGTTTTTAGATTTTTAACATTAAAATTTATATTTTTCCAAGCACACAACAGTTTAAAGCAAAGTTTTGTTTGAAAAGAATGTGCAGGAAGGATTGAAAAGCATGTTAACATAGTAATGTAGGCTTGAGTTCATTATCTGATGCATGCATATACACACCAGGAACCTGTCAACTTACGGAATTACAAAAAAAATTAAAAAACAAACATGTTTCATTGATATATATATATATATATATATATATATATATATACAAAAATGAATATTAGGAACTATATTTATCAAACATTATACTGGGCAAGTAAAAATTGTTTCTGGGCAAATGAAATGTGAAAGCCACTTGCCCGATCTTAACGTCAACCCCTGGGTCGCACGTGGGCCAAATAAATCGGATTTGGGTCACGTCAGGCTGCAGTGTGAACGTAGCTTAAATGTTGATGCTTTTCCAGAAGCTTGGCTGCCGAGATTCTCTCCTCTATAAAACACGTCGCTGAAAATCAATCAAGAGCAGGAGGGGCAGCGACTGCCCCACTAGAATCATTTATACGGGAAACGCTTCAAGTGAGAAGGAGAACACGATGATGATTCAGAACAAATGTCTTAGTTCTTGTAAAGGATGTAGCAGCATTATATATTTTTTTGTGTTTTAATGGAGACGTTTCATGTATATCAGGTGAGATCCTTATTTTCTATTGATCCAGGTGACAATAACCTGCTGAAGGTGACTGAGCTGGTCAGTGCGCTTTACGACCCCTACAAGTCCTACCAGCTGCAGTATGGAGAGCTGGAAGAAGATTACCTCCTCATTCAGATCAGCGCAATTCCTTTGGTTAGACATCACACTCTTAGCCACCGGTAACAAATCAGATAATCGATTATTATTTCTCTCTAACATTCTGTGCTTTTGCTCTGTATTCAGGAACACGGGGAGGTTATTGATTGTGTAGAAGAACTCAGCCACTCTGTAGGCAAGTTGTTTGGCCTGGCGAGTGCAGCCGTGGAGCGCTGTGTCAGACTGACTGATGGACTCGCCGTGTGTGGGCTCCTTAGAGCTCTCAAAGCTCTCTTCACCAAGTAAAGATGCTTCTCTCACAGATCCCCAAACGGAATATCCGACAGATTACTTTCTAGAATAAGCAGACCCCATTTCTTTTCAATGTTCAGGTATGTGTCCGACTTCTCTACCACGCTCCAGTCGATCAGGAAGAAGTGCAAACTTGAGGAGACGCCGAGTTCTTCTGTTTTCCAGGAGGACTGGACAGCCTTCCAGAACTCAGTCCGGTTAGTTTGCTTTTAAAACAGATATTCCCAGTTTCAAATAGTTTTTACTGGTGTTTACTGTGGGGTTGTTTGCAGGATCATTGCCACGTGTGGAGAATTGCTGCGACAGTGCGGGGCTTTTGAGCAGCAGCTGTCAAACAAGTGAGATAAATACATAACTTTTGAGTCCTTACATATAAAAATGGTGTGCTTATAAGCAATGCTTCCCACAGGATCCTGGGCACAGCAGGTAAGTACTTATCAGAGTCTTATAGCCCACGCAGCCTGGCTGGCATCCAGGAGGCCAGCTCCGCAGACAGGAAAAGCACCATTAAAAACCCATGGCAGGAGTACAACTACCTTCAGAGGGGAAATGTAGCTGAATATAACAACTTGATGGAGATCCTATACTCATTAAAGGTACAACGCAGGATTTTGTCATCACAGACGCTCCTGCATCTGTTCTTCTGTTAAATAACCATTGTCTTGCAGGAAAAGGGCACGGGCAACTCCAGCCTGTTGGCTGAACCCAGAACAGCTCTAACCAGACTCAATCAGCAGGCCAACCAGCTGGCCTTCGACTCCGTCTTCCTGCAGATCAAACACCAGCTCTGCCTTGTTTCCAAGATGGAGGTGATTAGGCGTCAAGTTTCTAGATAATTCAAATTGAAGTATTATAAGGCACAATTTTAATGCCCTAGTTTTGCTCTTGACTTTGTGCATTTGGATGGGCTGTTCTGAATATTTAAATCTGGTCTCATGCTGTTCAAACTTCTCCTGTTTCGAGTCAGGAAGCTTCTGGTATTGGAGAGAGTTACACCGAAGACCTGCCTACTTTCAGCCTGTCACCACAAGAATATATCGCCAATGTAAGTCAAAGTTACATATTCTCATATTTTTCATCTAAAACTCTTTAATTCAAAGTTCATTTGATGAACTGCTTATTTTCAGATGTTTTCAAAGCAGGAAGAATTTCCAATAAAAAAGATTGTGCTGTGTTTTTAAGTTAGAACCACACACTTCAGTGATGCTCCTGACTGATGAACACAGTGCAGAGCATCATGTGGAAAAGGGAGAAAACGATTGCTTTTATTTTTTTAATAAATAATAACACTGCAAAAAAAATTAAATCTAAATAAGTAATTTCTTCTTAAAATAAGTGCATTTGTTCTTGGATTGAGGAGGTAAAAGAGACATTTTGCCAATGGAACAAGACAATTTACACTTAAAATAAGAAAAAACAATTGCGTTGTCTTATTTCAAGTGCATTTTATCTAGATACCTTATTTTAAGAGTAAAAATACTAATTCCATTGGCAAATCATCTTATTTACCTGCTCAAATTAAGGGTAAATACACTTAATTTAAGAGATTTTTACTCATTTTGAGATCATTTTTGCAGTGAATACTCTTCTAAAAATAAGCCATATAGAAAAAATACTTTTAGTTATCGCTACAGTTTTAGAGGTTGTCTTTATATTTAAATGTGTTGAACAGATTCCCTGTCTTTTCAAAGGAAAGCATCTATTAGGATGGTGCATTCAGGGGGTTGTGGAAAGTCTTACTTTTCCACTACATGTCATGTTTTGCTTATGAACCATTAAAAAACACAAATAATTTTCTTAACTCATTAGAGCGGCTTTTTTTAAGCACCCCTACATGGCTTGTAGCAGAGCTCAAGAAGGTTCTTCTCGTGTTTTTCTTTTTTCTTGCCACTCTTCCAGGAAGGCTTTTTAATGCCCTAATTTCCATACCATATATCTTGTCAGCCATGTCTAACATGGACGGTTCTAGACAGGGGCCAACGGGGGCCAGTGCTCCTGTAGATCACATCCTGGCCCCTGTTATGGCCCCTGTACTGAAGAAATAATACTCAAAGAAATTCTAATGATGATATGCGCTGGAACAGACATGGTTACTGATATCTCCTTTGGGTCTATTTCTTTTCTTTACAAATCCCGTTTTACTAATTATTTAAAAACAATAAGGTGATAGCTTCAGTGGTATTGAGATAGGATCCCAGCTGCACACGTCAGATTTGTATTAGTTACTGAAATAATTTATCATCTTTATTCCACTTCATAATTATGCACAACTTTATGATGGATGCTTAAAATCCAAACAGAATGCGGCGAGTTTGTGGCTTTAATGTAGTAAAACATAAAAAAAACCTTTAGGGGAATGGTGTAGTGACTTTTTTGTTACATCTGAATTGTTTTGTTTTTGCCCTTTGAACAGATTGGACAGTACCTAATGTCTCTGCCACTTCACCTGGAGCCTTTTGTGACACAAGAGGACCCTGCACTAGAGATGGCCTTACATGCTGGGAAGCTCCCTTTCCCTCCAGAGCAAGGTACCTCATTACCGCCCTGTTTTACCTTCACTGTTTCATCTTGATTTTAAATTTCTCAATTTCAGTTTGGATCCTAAATTATACAGAGGCTGCTTTGATTTATCTGTTTCAGGCAGGGTTGATTTCTTGCCAACTAGGGTGACTAATCTAAGAACAAGCTGCTTAGGTAGAACATATGATGTTGGGATTAAACAAATATTTAAAATGTATTCTCTTCCTTGTGCAATATTAAAAAAGGACTAACTGGGATGCAATAATTGTCTGCTTTTCACTAAAAGTGACATTCCAAAAATATATTCAGCCTGTTGGATGGAGTTTCTCTGCAGGAGATGCTGATAACTAACAGAAATGATTGAGCCCACGATGCTGAAGTTTACAGAGAAAGTTGAATGCATTAAAATAACAGAGAAAAAATGCATCAAATTTTTATTTGATGCATTCCTGCTCTTCTGTTATTATGGTGCATCCTGACGTAAAAAGAAAAATCAAAACCTTTAAACCTTATCCGGCTTATCTGTATTAGGAAGGTATGCTGCAAACTTTTCTGTTCTACTATTAGATTTTGATTAGACTGAGTCATTGAGAGTTTATTTTGCTTTTCCTTTGCACTAACTAAATCATGTAGGTGTTTCACTCTGAGTTGTCGTTGTTTTCATGACCTTGAAAGCTTCCGTGTCCAGAGCATGGATCTGCTTACTTTTTCTTCTTTTCTCACGCATATCACCTGACAGCCAGGGGGGCTACTGGAAAATGATCAGAATGTGAAAAAGTTCAATATACAATAACTTTAAAATTTACATTTATATCCAACAAGATAATAAGAGCTTATTTAAAACAAAAAAAACAGCTGTATCTGTGTACACATGAATAGAAAATAGGTTTAGGATTAGAATGAGAAATTTATTGTCTTATTCTTGTTAAAATTAACGCGGCCCAATTTCAATGCCTCTGCATTTTGAAAAATGCATTTTGTTAAATTGGGATATATTACAAATTCATTGAATTTCCCAATTGTAATTTGGATTAACTCTACTTGGACTGTAACTGAACCTGTATGCTTTAGTTGAACTAGACAGATTAAGACCATCGAGGTGTCTTTGGTGGGAAACAATCTATATGAAGAAAAGCATGTTCTGCCCATTGTTAAGTACGGTGGAGGCTCCGTGGTGATGAGGGTCTCTTTCTTCTCCAAAGCTTGATGGATATTTTGAATATAAATCTGGTAGACTAGGATCCTCACTAGTTTGTTAAAGAGGAATTAGAACTAAAATATGACCAAGTCAACATAGAAATGGTTAAATAAATAAAAAAATCAGTTTGATAAGAAGGTAGATTGTGGTTTTACTTAACGTGTTCGCCTGCTATAACCCTGCATAAACTCGTACCTTTGTTATTCCAGGCGATGACCTTCCTGAGTTGGACAACACAGCAGACTACTGGCTGGGCTCCATCGCTAGAGCAACCATGCAGACGTACTGCGATGCCATTTTGCTCATCCCTCAACTTTCCCCTCATTCCACAAAACAGCTGATCACAGATATTGGTACAGTGACAAAGAAACTTGTTTAATTTCTGTTAGGAAGCAAAACCCGCTGTCCCGCTCCGTGTGAAAACATTTGAGTTCAGACCTCCTCTTTGTGCCCCACAGAGTATCTGAGCAACGTTATGGATGCTCTGGGCCTGCAGCCATCCCGCAACCTGCAGCACATCGTCACTCTGCTGAAAGCTAAACCTGAAGAGTACAGACAGACGGCCAAACTCCTGCCTCGGCGCCTTGCCTCTACCATCGCCGCGCTCCGCTCCATCGACTACTAACCACAGTTAAGGCGGAGAAGGACTATTAAGGCTGTACTACTTGTATTGGGAGCAAAATACAGAAAGAGATGTCAACAGCAGTTGCTTTACATGTTACTGTTCTCATTGGTGATGATTCTCTCTGTAGTTTGTAGCATTTTTGGAAGTTTTTATTCAGATGGGAACAGAAGCAGCTGAAATACTTACCTAAGCCAAGTTTAACTTAACTGTTCTGTTTACGGTAAGGATGCCTTCAATTTAAGCCAAAAAATAAATAACTGCATCTTCAATATAAATGGATTGGATCCTATTTACTAAATTTATAAAGTGTGTGTGTGTGGGGAGGGGGGCTGATGAGACCACAAACTCTACTAAGTCTTTATACCTATTGAACGCTTTCATGCTTCTGTAATTGATCTGGCCTATTTAACTGGACAGTTTTGGTTTGCTGTATAATTTCCCCTTTTGGGTTTATTATGAAATAAGTCTTTTGTTTAACTATGTTTAAAAATATATATATATTTGTGGGAGTCATTTTTTATGTTTTGGATGGAGGGCGTGAAAGGCTTAATATGATTGTCTCCATGTTTGATCGAAAGGGTTTTTTATGTAATGTTGGAAAATCTGTCAAATAAAAATCTGATTAAACTATATTGACACCTCCATACGTTTTTATTAGCTGATTACAGACTCAAATGAATTTAACAATATTTGCAATTTAGGAATGCAGCGGTGGATGTGTGAATTCTGATAGAAGCCACACTGTTTACCTGTGCTGTGATGTGGGACTACAGTGCAGCTAAAAAAAAAGTATTTGCTTACAGATTTTTCTGTTTTGCTATTTTTTTTGTTGATAATTTATTAAGGGAAAAAAAAGATATCTGGCAGGAGGTTATCTTCAAAATATTCCTTTCACCCATAATTGTCCTCAGTCAACTTCAGCAGCTCCCCACATCCACTAAAATATGTATAAGCAAAGCACCGTTCCCCCCCTCCACTGATTTGCCAGAATCACTTTGAGGCAAACTCATGTTATTTCTCCATAATTTCTCCAAACTCCTCCCAAGCCTGAGTTTTTGCGTCCACCGCTGTACATTTGGCCTCACAGAACCTGCTGCTGCTTTATATGGAAGAGGATTAGGGCCACTGGAAAAAGAAAAGTTAACTGATTTTTAAAATTTTCTCAATTTAACATGGGGATTCTGACTTTAATCTCAGAATTCTGACTTTTTTCTCAGAATTCTGCCTTTTTTCCCATACTATACTGAAATAAAATAAAAAAAAATCAGTTAACTTTTTTTTTCCAGTGGCCCTAATCCTCTTCCGTAGCTTTAAGGACCCAACAGGCCAACCTGTTTAGATTTGGTTCCTTCTTTCTTCACAGTTGTATTATGAAATTTAGGCAGGATCAGGAGGAGTCTGCAATAAAGATGACACACACAGAACACACAAACTGTTTCTGCTAGAATTAAAATGTGTCTGCCGGTCGATCCTGGCAGGGCAGCGACCCGCGCAGCTAGGCGTCCGTACGCAACCCTAGCAGACCCTGCCAGTGCCAACCGCCATCCGTCATTTATGCCAAACTTCAAAGTAAAATCTTTCACCCAATCAGGAAAAGTGATCGCTCCCTCTCACGCCTTGAGTGCATGATTACAGAAACCAAAATATGGAACGGGCACCCCCCGAACCCACCCAAGGCTCGTGGACAGCCGAAACCAAAAACATTACATCACTCTCAGAGCATGGCACCGAGAGGTTGTGAGTACAAAAACAAATTATATCATGCTCTCAAGGAAACAGAAACTTAGATAATGAGAGTGCCTAGGTAATAAGAGTGCTTCATTTGTGATACAAAACTTGTATGATTGTCAAAGAACATAAAATATAAAGCCTGTATATATCAACAGTGTCCCTCAGGGCCATCACTGGATTTGGGGGTTGCTGCCTGGACGGGAACTGCAAAACTTACAGCCACAGCAGGCAGCTGTATCAACAATGGAGGCAAAGAACACAGTCCACTCAGACTAGATGTTCCCAGCTTTACCTTTAATCTGAGAGAAGCTCTCCATGAGGTGGGAGTTCAATATGTCCCTAAATAAGGGCTCTGCTTGATGTTCCAAGCAAGCCCTCAATACTGGCTTAGTTAATCTGAATCTGTCAAGCTTCCTCCTCTTCCATCACCAGGTGGTGTTCGGTGGACAGCTACATCCCACTCTTCACCTGAGTGTCCCAAGAGATTTGGCTAAAAGTCAGAAGAAGCAAGTACAAAGTCGATCACCAGCATCTGGCTTAAGGCCTCTAGTTAGAACATTAATCTGGATATTGCCTCCAAAAAACACTTCACTATGGTCCAGTTTCATGTTTGAAAACCACAACTTAATTTATCATCTCAGGGACTTTCTTTTAGCAACATTGAATAAAGATATGGAATAAAGTAACATGGAATAAAGTACCCGGTTCGATCTCCACAGCCTCCTCTCTGGGTCCCTGAGCAAGTCCCTTAATCGCACATTGCTCCCCGGGCACGCACAATGGCAGCCCACTGCTACCCAAGGGGATGGGTTAAATGCAGAGGTAAATTTCTCCAATTTAAGATCAATACAATTTAATAAAAAAATATATATATATATATTTCTCCACTTATTGTATTTTCAAAGGGAGATTGTGTAATACTTGAGCAGAACTATTTTTAAATGAATCGTCTAGGGTGAAATAAAAAATTTTTTTTATAAACATCCACATTCCTTTAAAATGCATGGAAGATATTTTGGATTTTGAGTTTGTGTTGATAAGAAACACCCTCACACTAATAGATATGTTCACATAATAATGAGGTAATTATATGATTATTATCACCTCCCTATTATGAAACTATATCATATAATGATTTGCCCTATAGCAGTACGACTTAATCAGTTATTGAATTAGCTATCTCGTTA